TAGCTGAGGCCTTTATGCAGGCAAAGTTTCAGGTCAAAATTCGAAAGTATAGCTTTGCTGCCAATGTAGACGTACAATAGAGAAAATTCACTAAGAGCTCGATATCTCCTCAGAAACAAGCTAGAAACCCGAACTTTTTTTACCGTAAGCATAGCTCACTACGGGCTATAAGATGCACGAAACCCCGATCGAAAAGCGCTCCCGCACCTTGGAAGGTTCCCTAGTAAGTCTTCAAAATATTTTTTCATTTACATAGAAGATCGTATATTTTTCGGGAAATTTTTCATAATCGACTCTTTAGTTCTACGTAATAAAAGCGGTCAGTATTTCATCTGAGGAAAAAAACAATTTGAAAGCTCCAATATAAGTTATCGATTTGTTAAAATTTAAATGTATATACTTATATCTAGTCTAGCTTGTTAAAGAATAAAAGATACAGCAGTCGCTGTGGGTTTATTATTTCTATTCATGCATTATGATAACTTCGATGAAAGAATCATGCATACAGATATGTGAATGTTTGAAAGTATACGCTAGTTTAATATTCCTTTCTTCTAACTGATATGATGATCCGACCGACGACACTTCTTTTTTAATATTTTTACGGATCTATTCTATGACAGTCAAGCAGACAAAAATTTCGAAAACTCGATTAAACGCACCAAGAAGAAGCGCGATTGAATTACAGCACGATTCCTGTTTGCGTGTTTAAACGCGTTCTTCAAAATATTTGTCTTCTCGCGTGTTTTTCATAGGATAGCCCATCTACCGACGGCACCAGGATTTTCGATCTCAGGAGGCTCAGCCCTTGATTAGATTTTCAGAGAAGCGGAGGAGGGCTCAAAGAGGTTCCTGAGAGATCTCAGCTTCACAATTAGCAGTAATATTACAATTTTCTGGAGGTTCAGTTCCTCTAACTGCCCTCTCCCTTGGCGCCGTCACTAAGCCCATGCTAACCCACTATCAAATAGTTGCTGACATTGTTTGTATCAATTTATCATATTTTTTTGAGATAATTCCAGTAAAAATAGCACCTATTTTTTTTGCAGAAAGTTCGTTACACCATTGTTCTCAAAAAAACAGTATATAGAACAATTATTATATCAATATCCCAATGGAAGATCTGCAGGTGGTCAATCGATAGGCGGTTTGAGGATATCCTACCCTCCGAAATTTTATCGTTTTCATATAACTTTTTCTAGAAAATTAAAAGGGTTAGCAGAAAAATCTGTGCAAGGTAGTTTGCATTTAATAGAAGTTAATGAATATGACGTTTATGAAGCTTGTTTCAAGCAAATTTTTCCAGCTCAAGATCAGCGTAAACTCTTGAGATTATATTTTTTCTTTTTGATCGATTGAGTAATAATGAGGCTCATCGCATGCATTTTACTGTCTGCTTGGTCATGTAAAAAATCGTTTCAAAGTTCGAGCGACTTTGCTTTTCTTGAATTTCCATATGAAATAGAGGTAATACTGCCAAAATATTGAATAATTTTCAGTTTAACCCCCAATGTAGCCATATAATCTTAGTTAGACAATCAAAAAGAACATTAAAATAAATGTTAAACCTTTGTTTTTCTCCTTGTTTTTTTGCTTTAGAAAGATCAAAGAATACGTATCATTTCATAAATTTTCTAAACAGAATTATCTAAAATAGATTAACAACAATCACTTTTAACGATCGTGACTGAGCATCAAGATAATGATGCCTAATAAACATGTTTCTCGTTTGTTATGTAAACTGTATTTTATTCTTCTAAATTCTTTTCTCTTCGCTGTTTCTCATAGAAACAAATAATGATATAAATACTAAAGATTACTTAGAGCATAGAAGTAGAAGTGTAAGGATTTTGTGGAGAGAAATTGACTGATGTATCAGTTTTTGTTTTACTAATGTATTGTCAGATTCCATTAGAAAATATTTTCGTTTTTCAACTATTATCCAAAGAGCAACAAAACAGATCTTACGCCACTTTTGACCATAAATGAGTAAATTATAGTTGAATTTGATGAAAACAGTATGTCTTTGAAATAATGGAACAATACAGATATTAAGTTTGTGTTTTACATATTTTTAAAGGGCATTTTTTTGACAAATCTATCTGTAAAGTATATGGAAAGGAATTTAAACTATTTTTGGTTCAAAAAAATATGGGTTGAGATGTGAGTTGTGAATATGAGTACAGTCGATGCTTCAGAATTACAGCCACACCTACAGCCGTACCATGCAAATGAAATAATTAGTGATGATGGCATGCTTGTCGAAGCTTCTTGTTATTAAAATAGTCGTAATTCAAAACTACTCTCTATAGACTTTAATTCAGATTGTAATATCATTTTTTGAAAAAATTAAAAAAAATAAGATGATCCTACTACAACAAATGCGACGTGCTCGCACATTTATTGTTACACTTAATTTATTTAAAACTCATTCTTTCGATCATTTGACGGAAAACGAAAAGTTGTGGTCGACAAGAATTTATATTGTTTTACTTTATTCGACAATATTATCTTTCATCATTTATACTTCATGGAGTACGGTAAATGAAATAGTAACTGTTCAAATGCCGACTCTAAGGGACTACGAACGGTTTTCAATTGGACATTCAAATTTTCTTTCATGCCCATGCTCTCGTCTCAGTATACCATATGGGCTATTTATTAAAGTTGAAACTCAGTTCCATCCGATCTGTAATAGTGAATTTGTCTCAAAGACTTGGATTGATGCTTTGTTCTATGAAAACGCCAGTTACTATCTGCCTATGGATATTCGAAGTTCGTTCAGCGCTCAATTACAACTTATTAGTTTACTGTGTGATCTCTCAAATATTACCTTGGTCAATAGTCTTAACGATATGTCTAATACTCAATTAATTACTCGAGAAGTCATCTCGCCCATTATTCTTCAAACTCAAGTCGAGGATTTAGTTGATAATTTTCGAACTGAACTTTCAATGACACTCGATCGTACTTTGAAACTTATTCGTGAGACATCAGTTGGCAACCAACTCGTATCTGGGTGGAAAACCGATGCTTCTGCAATGTTTTACGCTGCAAATGCCGCTGGTGATCTATGGGCCTCTATTGTAATGCATATTCTTCCTCAGTCTGCTGACGGATTACCTTGCTATTGCTCAACTACATTCCAGTGTCGAAGTTCAGCGGCCATCTATCAAGAAACAGATCCTGATAATACAGATGGAGATTATGCGACTTCATTTAATGTCTCGATGACTATTGACTCATTTGAAGGATTCGTGAGCAGTTGTGTTCCACTTGAATCCCTCCTCAACTCTACTCTCGAGTGTTTTTTTACACAGTCTTGTCTTGATAAGTTTATTCGTCATTTTCCTGTCAAGAAAATACTTGCACTTGACTCGAACTCGTCGTCGTGGTCATTAAACACAAGTGTTGAGAAACTCATTCAGAACTTATTTATTGATCGCCAAATGGTCCCATTTATTTATAGTACATTTTTTACTGCCTGTAAGCCTCTTTACTGCACTTATATTTTGAAGACACGAAAGACAATGTTTCAATTTATCACTGAATTTTTTGGCCTATATGGAGGACTTGTGGTCATTTTTCGGTTTTTCGTACCGCAAATTGTCTATTTCATTATAAGAAGAAAACGACACCGGCCATCCACAACAACAGAACAAAGTAAACCAAAGAGAAAGATTCTTACTCTTCTTTTTCTTCATGTCATCTCCGTGTTCTAGGCTTACTTTGGCGAGATCGACTCAAAAAGCTACCAAGGGCGCTCTTGAAACACATCATACATCTGAACTTGTTTTATCATCCCACTGAATGTGAACGTCGAATTCGCATAGGTCGTTATGTCACATGGTTATACCTTGTCTTGTTCTGTGGGAGTACAATTGTTATGATGTTATACATAGGAATCTTCGTAGAAACGCAAACTACAACTGTGCATAATCCTTCTCTAATGCAATATGAATATATCTATGCACATTATGCATATTCACTTTCATGTGCTTGCTCTCGTTTAACTATTGATCACAAGCTTTTCATATACATTGAACCAATTTTTCATCAAGTATGTGCAAGTGAATTAATCTCACTCGCCTGGGTCGAATTGTTAGGAGAAGCAGCACAGAGTACAATTTATCTATATTACACAGACTTTCGCATTACTGGCGTTGGCCTATTTCAGTTGCTTACTACATTTTGTCAGCTTGCAAATAGAACAGTTTTCGATGCAATAGCATTATTTAATAATACTAAATTTATAAGTGCACACTCTATGCCATCTATATTATTACTACCACGAGCACAATCTCTTATAAATATATTTACGAATGGAGTAACAGACACATTTGGTAGACAACTTCGACTCCTACAGGCTATAATACGAGGCAATCAATTACTTACTGGCACTCTAAATAATTTCTATTTGAATGTGACTAACAATAAGCAAGTTGATATCATTCCGATATATACCATTACTAATAACCAGACACCATGCTGGTGTGCGCTCGATAGTCTTTGTACCGAACCTATCGGAATTTTCAATTACGATTATAACGTACAAGTTCAGAATGCACTTTTTTATATTCCTGGCCTCGTATTTGGATGCTTTCCTCTCGATTCGCTGCTACTCTCTTCACTGGAATGCTTTTATAATGAGACATGTTTAACTCAAATACTTACATACTTACCGAATGCAAACATAACTGCACTGAATTCAACAAAACCTACTCGTTTTGATTTCACTTCAGCAACAAATATTTTAGTAGAAAATCTGTTTGTGGAAAACTGGCGTTTCAATATATCTTATTCTTCGTACTACTCAGCATGTGCACCTTCAGCATGCACATATTCCTATACGCAACGGCCTAGCTTGTTCTACATTGTCACAATACTTTCTGGTCTGGTTGGTGGATTGAATATAACACTTAAAATTTTTATTGCATTATTAATTGCTATGGTAATGTTATTAATAAATTCTGTAACATTGACTGAAAATGGCATGGTTTCCATTGGTAGACGTCGACGTCTTCGTTATTGGTTCACTATCGTCAGAAACAAAATCACAACATTCAATCTATTTCCGGATCGTCTTGGCGACGATGAAAATCGCATACGTGAACAGCGTTATACCAGTCAGTTATATGTTGTTCTACTTTGTGTTAGTATTCTTGTCTTAATCATTATCACATCACTAGCTCCTCAATACAATACACGTACAATTGAATTTCCAACGATCACTATTTATAAAGAACTTCAAAATCGTTTTCCGGATACACTGACGTGTCCATGCTCACAAGTGAGCATCCCATACGAACGATTCATTGAACTCTATCCATCATTTCATCAAGTCTGCTCAAGTGTATTCATTTCAAAATACTGGACTACTAAAGTATTTCCTGGGAGTTAGTAAGTATAAAACATTGGGATAATCTAAAAATTTTAGTGAGGATTTCGATGTGGCTGATGTAATGAATGAAAAAATTTTTTACAATCACATAATCACCATAGCAGATAAAATTGAAAGAGATAGATTTAATGCGATTTGGACCGATAGTATTTTTCTTTTAAATCCTGAATTTACTGAAAATCAATCAATCAATGAAAGACGTTTGATTCGTTCACACGATCCACTATTGTAAGTCATAAGACTAATGGTTGAGAAGAGAATGTGTTTTTTTAAAGAGATAAATTAATAGTACATATAAATTTTACTTTTGCTTCAGTATTAATAGTCTTCTAGAATAATGTATAGGATACTGTGACAAATGATTTTGACATAACTAGATTGAATTTAATATCTTTAGCAGACTGTTTTCGGTAATGAACTGAGAAAAAAGTTCTGGATTGCCTATAGCGACGAAATAGAATGCGGTCAGTAAACTATTCGTAGAGGGAAACAGTGCACTTTTTGGTTGAACCACAAAATAGAGTCTCGCATGTGACTTGAACTGAACTCTTGAATTAGTAACTCACATTTCTTCTCGACACTTGGTCATAAAATTTCGTGTTTTGGTAACGTATGAAAAGCAAAATACTTATTCTTTGCGCAGTTAATAGTTATATTGTTTTACTCTGGCACATATAGAATTGACACATAGAAGTGAGACGTCGTCTCAACTATTACACATGCTATTGTAGGAAGTATGTTTGTTTGAAGTTTAATCTTACACGTTTATATTCTAGCATACGAGCTTACAAAGATTTTCGCGTTCAAGCGGCTGGTCAATTTCAATTGCTTCAAAGTTTATGTGCATTAGCAGAACAAACTGTAGTTAGAGCACTGCAAGACTTTGCTAAAAATGAATTTATAACTGCTAATGTGATCTCTCCAACTGTCTTTGATGCACAAATGCAATCAACAATAAGTACTTTTCAGCTTGCGACACCAAGCGCATTTATTAGTACATTAGAACTTATTCGACGTGCGACACATGGAAATGCCTTTATGACAGTGTACGCCAGTAATTGGGAGTAAGCGATGTCATAGTTTTCTTGTACATATATTTGATTTCAAATGTCATGTAGCTACATTGTCAACAAAGCAGAATTAGATGCAACTATCTTCACTTATCCAATTTCTTATGACAATTGTTCATGCGCCATGTCCTATAAATGTTCTTCACCGGCTTTTATTTATTCGTCGAATAAAACATTTATGTATGAAGTTCTTGGATTTCGCATGGGCTGCTTTCCACTCGAGGCTCTTCTTCAATCGACGCTTGAATGTATATATTCCCAAATGTGTGTAAATCTAGCAGTTCGATTGCTTCGACCAACATCAGTGATTAACATAACTGCTTTAGAAACGAAAAATAGTAGTCGATTTTCACGAAGCACAACTGTGGAGATGATCCTTCAACAACTGTTCGTTGAAGAGTGGTCTACTAACACTTCTTATGAAGCTTTTTTTTCTGCATGTAAACCATTATCGTGCACATATATTTACACGACTTCACTCAATGTCATATATGTGACAACGATATTTTTCAGTCTCTATGGTGGACTTACTGTAACCTTAACAATTTTAGCCCCATTGATTATCAAAATTATCACGACGATAGGACGCTACTTTTTCGCACGCAATCTATGAATCTGTCATAATCAAAATTGAAATAGACAACTTAAAAATGGATAAAAGCCAATAAGCATTTCACTTGAAAAGCAATAGACTAAATCAAATAAAACTACATTTTATTCGATATTGTAATTCTAATAGTATCACGCATCCAAGACTAGGGTGTGGGTGTGGATGGGTGTGGGCTTGGATGTGGATGTGGAGTGTGGATGTGGGTGTGGGCGTGGGTGGGTGGGGGTGTGGAGTGTGGATGTGGGTGTGAGTGTGAGAAAAGAGAGGAACTGAAACCACACTCACACCCACACCCACACCCAACCGTTTTTAAAGTTAATGGCATGGCAGTGAAACAACAAAGTTAAGTGTTTTTTATAATGTGGCAGCAGTGCAATAGCTTTTTGTTTCTGTCACGGCAACGTACTAGCAGCAGATCTTTAGCTGCGATGGACATCTCATTTGAAAATCGATTGTAACTTTTATAATTGATTAAAATCCTAACTTCATTAAATCTGATTGAGGACTCTCAGATGAATATAATTGATTATTCATTATTGAATCAGATTTTAATTAGATGATTGAATTTTATTTATCGATTTGAATAGTGATGATCAGAAAATGTACTTTTCTTGATTTTTTTACTTCAAAACTCACATTTTTTATTATTCCTTTTTCGAACTTCTCGCCTCCAAAACTCATAAATATAGTATCAGATCAATCGTTCACATTCATATCACATTTTCAGTTACCATACTAACTGATATTTGCTCATTTAACTGAAAAATGAAGTGCTAGATTATAATTGCCTTGTCAACTCTTATGCACCTTTACTCTCAAACCTTAGATGATGACAAAAATGAGAGTAAGGTGAGGATGAGAGTGCATGTAAGATGATAGAGACGGCGAGGATAGCTGGCGAACGATAATAAATAAGTACTGAAGATGTCTATTAAGTCAATTAAAGTCAATTAAAGTGTAAGATTTTAGTTAATTGTAATTGCTTGATAATCAATTATAATTAAAATCAGAAATTGAATTACTCTAGAACAGAATCATAATCATTATTATTTATAATCTGTTTGTTTTGAAAATTATACCCAGATAATAATCTTTTATCATTAAATTATAACAAATCATCATCTAATAAAAATTTACAAGAGAATTTTATTTTAATACATTGAAATATTGATTTTTCTTTTTTTTAAAAATACTTGGATTTATGAATTTGATTATTGTCATACGATTTTGAAATTTCAATCAGATTTATTTGAGCAAAATTTCTTATTTAGCGAAATAATCAAGTCAGTTTCACATTATATTTAAACATTTTTACTAGTAAGAATGAAATCATGTATGAATATAATTTCACCTTGAAATTTAGCTTTACATTTCTTTGTTGATTTTTATGATTGAAAAGACGAAAAAATATATTCTCATAGACAGAAAAGAATATGTTTTGTTCGCATTTTCAGATTCTTTTTTCATCTCAATAAAAGATAAAATGAATAATAAATGTCATTTTTGATTATTTATTATTTAAAAACAACTAACACTGCTACTTCAATAAATAACTTTTTACTACAATCATTTTCTAGATTTAGATTTAATATAATAATTTGTTTCAAATAAATTTATTTTTCATAACTGATAGATAATCAATATTAGAAGTCTATTTTTTTACTATATGGCTGACTTACAATATATTTGTGCCATTGCGATTTCTAACGTATATTCGCAATAATTTTGTTTTTGTTTTGATCCTCTATTAAATCTCATCATTAGACTAAATTCAACTTTTTACTCTTTATAGTTCTGAAGTGATGGACACTACAATGGTTAAAATCTTGATTTTTCACGCCATCAATCGAGCGAAAATAGGATTTTTTTTCGTTTTTGATTTTTACTATTAATTTAACTTTTTTTGACCATTTTCTAGAGGATACTATGTATATTCAGAAAATGTAAACAGTTTGCTTCAATACAATTTCTTTTCTGGATAAATTTTGATAATCTTCGAGCTAACAAATGCTTTTAAATTTTTTGTTCCACGAGAGTGAAAGTGTTCTTGGAGACGAACAAATTTGCACAAAAGATTGGAGATGGTCTCAAATGATAGAGAAATGAAGGTACTATCTTTTGAGAAAAAAAAAACTTTCTTTGCATTGTAATTTTGATGAGAAACTGGCATACAAAATTCAAAAATTATAATTGTCAGATGAAATATCCGGCGAGATATTCATTTTTGACTTTCTTATAACTCTACTAATCTCAATCTCTTTTAATCAAACTTTCATCATTTTTTTCAACGTATGCCAGACTACCTATGATTAAAAAAAATCAGCTCACTAAGATGAATAATTTGGAGCAAGATTATATATTGATGTCAAAATATTCCGCTAGATTTTTTAACGAAAAAGTATTCCGTCAAATTTTTCAGGCAATGTCTATATCAAATTAAAATTAAAATTGGATTAAGTTTACGTCAATCGATTTCTTTTTGAAGGCGCTATCGATCGAAATATTTATTATCTCTGCTATAAACCACTTTGAATTGAAGAATAGCTTAAAATCAGGATTAGCATACTCAGATATGTATATTTCTGAAATCAATAATTTTTCTAAATTCTGGAAGATGTAACCGTTCTATTGATATTGAGTTATGTTTGTATATATACTTGTTTTTAAGTCATACATCGAGAATTAGACCTTTCCGTAAAGAGAAAACTCAAAAAATTTTATGTAACCTGTTTATATTTTTTTTTTTGGTTTGATTAAGTCACAAATTATAATCTTTCTCAGTAATCTCTGCATAGCTTCTATTTTAATAATGATAGTCGGGAAATTTTATTCCTCCTCTCCCCTAACATATAGTAAGAAAATCAGTGAGTCAAAACATTTTAATTTGAAACTTTTTCTTTTCGATCTTTCTTTTTTATCAATAGCAACAGTATATTGCACATTATCTATATATTAAAGAAGACAAAAGAGAAATTGGTATTCAAATAAAGCTTTATCTGTTACTCTTTCTAATTATTGATTTGTTTTCTAAAAGATTTGTCAATTTTGTAGATTAAATAAGTTGAAAATTTTTCTCTTTGCTGACTATTTCGACATAGATATTGTAATATCAATTAAGATCAAATCAACATACATTTAGTTATTTTCTTTTACGGAATTTTTTTTTGTGATGTTTGAAGAATAAATCAAACGAATTAAAGAAAAGCCATTAATGTTTTTTGTTATTAATATAATTGTTGATTAAAGATTCTATTATATATATGTACGTATGAAATTTATTCAGCAAAAGTCTTGTTATTGAATGAATATGAATTTTGTTTTTATTTTTTATTTATTTTTTTTTCAAAATGAAAAACAAAAGGTCTTGATGAAATTAATCATTATAGAAAAAAAAAGAGAATTATAATAATTTTTTTATCATATAATTATATAATATCATATTATACATAATAATTAAATCCAAAGTGAAAATCTTGATCTTTGAATATGAATTCGACTATTTGGAAAACGTTTTTGAACCATTAGATAATAAGGTTCAACTTTCTTATAATCAGTATTACCATAAATATCAAGATAGACAAATTCTTTGAATTGTTCGACTAATTGACATAGATCTTGAAGATGTGAGTGTGGGGTGGGTGGATGTAGGTGTGGGTGTGGGTGTGGGTGTGGGTGTTGTTATCTTTCTTGTCCCACACTCACCCACACCACACGCTCACACCCATACCCCACCACACCCACACCCACATCCACACCCACAGCTCGAAAGAAAGTAATGCGTAACTTATCAGATGACGAACTTTCTGCTTTACACGCACTAAAGACAAATCAAGTAACAGCTATCTGTAAATTTGATAAAGGAAATGCAATTGTTATCATGGATCGAGACGATTACATCGAACGAGCATAAATGATCCTCTCAGGATTACAATTCGAGAAGATCTCTAACATTAACATTCTACAGGAGAAAGAAGAAATCATGAATAAATATATTCGCTCGCTTTATAATAAGAACATCATTGATCAGAAACTATTTTATCAAATTCGATCGACTTCATCTAATCTTTCGATTTTCTACGGACTTTCTAATATTCATAAATCAACATATCCGCTTCGATCAATAATATCGTCTATTGGTAGCTATCAATATAATCTTTCTAAATATCTTGCATGTTTAATTTCTGATTATTCACCGTCTCCTCCTTCATATATAAAAGACTCATTCAGCTTCTCAAACATGATTCGAAACATCACTCTTGAGCCAACTAAATCATATACGATGTGTTCGTTTGATGTTGAAAGTCTTTACACGAATGTACCTGTACGAGAGGCAATCGACATCGCTCTCGACTTAATGTTCCAATCAACAAAATGTCCTCATACTCCACTAAATAGAGATCAAATAAAAACTCTTCTAGAATATGCCGTCTGCTATGCTCCTTTTCGATTTCAAAAAGAAATTTACATACAGAAAGATGGAGTTGCTATGGGCTCACCGTTAGCACCTATTCTAGCGAACTTATTTATGATACGAATGGAAGAAAATCTGACTCATATATCGTCAAAAAAACCAACCTTATGGTTAAGATACGTAGACGATGTCTTCTGCATATTCACTATCTCGTATAATGAAATCATTCACTTCCAGTCAGAAATCAATAAATGGCATGCACATCTAAAATTCACTATCCAATGAGACGAAAAAGACAGTCTTGCATTTCTTGATGTTCTCGTCATTCGAAAAGATCATCGATTTCTAACGACACTATATAAAAAACCAACACACACAAACTTGTATATGCTATGGGATTCGAACCAGAATAGACAATATTAGCTAGGACTAATAAGAACGCTCGTCATTCGCACACTTCGTATTTGCTCTACACTAGAATTCGTTAAAGAAGAATTAGATCTTTTAAGAAAAGCACTACGTTATAACGGCTATCCACCTCATATTATTCGGAAAGGCATAAAAGAAGGACAGGTTATATTTCAACGCCTTCTACGTCCACAACTTAGAATCGGGCCTCAGCGTAAATCTATTCTACTTACGATAGCCTACTACGGGCAAGAATCTAGTATATTTGCAGCAAGAATCAAGAAAGTTTGTAAGACATACCTACCACACATAGACATTTGCTTCGCTTTTCGAAAACAACATACATTAAAATCAATATTTCTTCCAATTATTAAAGGAAAAGACTCAAATCGCTGTCAACAAAAACTCGTCTATCTCATCCCATGCACTAACTGTGAAAAAGTATACATAGGCGAAACAGCTCGAAATCGCGATATTAGACTGAAAGAACATCAAGCGAACATTAGAAAACATGAATCGTCATCAGCCCTAACAAAACATATAAAAACAGAAAAACATTCATTCGATTTCAATAATGTGCGAACACTATCTCGAGAAACCGATTGGTCGTGCAGAATCATAAAAGAAAGTATACTCACACATGAAACATTTGGAAAGGCACTGAACGACACAAAGCACACTTTGAAAGTCTTCGGATAGTTAAAAAGATTCTAATTGCTCCTGAGATTGTTGTTATTGGCGTGAAAATTCTGTCGTTATTGCCATTATTGTTGTTGTCTTCATTAGCTTTGAATCTAATAAATCATTCCTGATGATGTTTCCAGAGAGGAACGAAAGCTTGAATCAAATGATTTGTCATTGACTAATTCAGTACAATGCTATTCGTGGCAGTTATTCGCTTCTTTGTTAAACATAGCATAAGTTTGACTTTTTTCCAGCATGTCTGCATACGAAAAATTTATTTTAAATTGCAAAAAACAAAAAAATTTGCATATCTACTATTCCATATGTATGATAACATTGTTAAAGAAAGTATGCACGTGGAAAAAAATGACGAAGTTGTCCTTTAAAATTGATATAATCACCTGATCCAATTAATTGAATTTGTAATATTTGTTGATAGATATTTTTCAAATATGGATCATTGTTTAATGTTGGTTCTGTAATAATTTGTTTAAGCAAACTTGTTTTTGACACTTCCAAATATTTCAATCGAGGACACATGAAAAGAAAACGACGAATTAGTTGACAAGAAAATTGTCCTTGAAAACAGAGAATTCGAACAGTTTTAAGTACAGGATAGGTAATAGTTTCATCTTCAAGTTGCCAAGACATAATATTTTTTCGTATAAGTTTCAAATGACGCAATCGTGGAAATGATGTGACTATCCAACGAAAGAGATCAATAGTGAGAATAGCATCATGGTCTTCAGGTGATATTATAATCGATTGTACCGTCGTAAGTATAAGTCTATTACGATGTGCAATCGAACAAATATTTGAATTCCAATCAACAATTCTTGATGAAACAATGAATAATTCTTCAAAAACTGTTGATGTATGAGTAAGAGAAAAGACAATCATATTGATAATACCAGAAACAGGATCCATTGCTGTAAGTGAAAAAAAAACATATTTAAATCTCGATTCGATTTATTTGATTGAATGAAATATATATTTAGTTATTTTCATACCTGTAGTTGGATAATTAATTACAATACATCGTTGTTGCCATAGTTCATTTCTAAATGAATTTTGATATTTTTCAATAAGTCTAATATTAAGTTCAAATTCAATACAAAATTCAAATTGTTTTAAATGTGGTAAATATGCTATGATGCCTTTTTCAAGTCGATTACCATCGACAAATGATGTTTCAGATTGATTTTGTAAAATTAAATCTAGTGTCAAATATTCAAGTGATGAAGAACAACCATGAATAAATTTTTCAAAATATTCGAATTCAACTTGATATAATCTCAAATAATAATATCTAAATAAATCATAATAAAAACAAAATAATGATATACTATGTATTTATTGAGTACATACTTAGGTAGAATTATTTCTCGAGAATATAGAGCAAGTCGTTTTAGATAAGGTGAACAGACAATAAATGAATTTAATTCTTGTAATGAACTATGAAGTTCAGTTGATTGTCCATTTACATCAACAAACAATGACTCAATCATTGGTAATTGTTGACCAAGTTGAAATAAATCTTGTATTGTATTTACACGTATTGTTAAATGACGTAATGAAGAAATTAATAATCCTGTTGGAATAAACAAGCATCTCAATGAAAGATCAAAATCTTTCAATGGAATATCAAAGTCGTTATCCAAATGATAGATTTCATGTTGTAAACCAAACTTAAGTTTAATCGAATATAATTGTGGTAATCGAATACATAATGATCGAAGTTCCATTGCTAATTTATCTGTTTCATTAATTTCAACAATTGTTAATTTTTGTAATGATGGTAAATTACGTAAATATGTCAATTGTCGAGTAGTAACACATACAGAATGGATAACTTCATTAAATTTAGGTAAACGAGTACTAAGCCAAAAATTTGATTCATGAGATAAGTTAATATGAGATAAATAGGGTATAATAAGAGAAGCAAGTCGAGTATTGTTTTCACTTAATTCAAGAAAAGCTTTGAGAATTTCTGCTGAACTAAGATAATTAAATAAATATGGAAAAAGTTCATTTGGTAGTGAAAGTAAATGTGTTATAACTGTATTGTCGTTACTCATTCTATATATTATGATTTAGCAAAAAAGAATATGAAAATAAATGGTGATAAGAAGCACTCTACAAGCATATTATACATGCATTTATTCTTTCGCAACTTAGCACATTTTTGATGCTGTACTTGCGAAATTTTTTGGTAATAAACACTTATCAGTGGAAAGGAAAGAAATGTTATTCACTAGTAGTGACGTTTGCGTTTTGTCGATTGGGCACGCTGTCAAGAACGTAAAAATATTTGTCTATTCTTCTCCTAACATTGTTCTGCGCAACGTACATTTTTAACAAACATAACAATTTAAATTTTTCGTCTTGTGACAAATGTATGTCGATTGTCTTTAGTACTGTGTTATTTGAATATCATTTGTCACAACGACTTACACAGCAAGAACGAAATGAATCATGAATATTTTTCGAAATAAAAATGAAAAAAGGTAATGATTAGTCGTTCTTTCAGTAGTAAAAGAACCTTTTGCTAGGTTCTTATCAATAAATAAATAGAACAGAATTGTTTTGTATGTATCTCTGGTGAGAAACGTGGTAGAAGGCTGACTTTTTTTTTCAAAAGATGCCCCATTTAATGCTTTATCAGGATTACAAAATCAAATCTTTTTGAAATTTTAATAAATCAAGATGTCTATTGTCACACTCTGTCTCATTCTAAACAATCTGAAAAATTCAGAAATTACTAGTATGAAGTATTGACAAATAAGCATAGCGTCCTCGATGGCAGACTCAATGGCAATACTAAACTTCTTAGTGCAAAAAAAAACAACAGAAAATTTATCAAGTTGTTCATATTTGATCACTAATATGTGGTTATTTCTGTTTGATATCTTTTTCTTATTTTAGATTGAAAACATTATCTCTTGATGTTGTTTTGTACAATATTCTTTTTAGTTCAAATCTGTTTTTTTTTGTGTTTTTTACATTTTCAGTTTCAACATGATCTGATAGTGTATGAAACAGGTACCAATGTAAGAAGATTGCTGATTCTTAAAGCATATTTTTGAAGAATATCAGTAGAAAAACCTCCTTCTTAGGAAATTATGCTATGAAATCTAGACACAAATCTTTTTATGGTTAAACTTAGAATAGATACACGGTACTTAATATGGCGGTCTATTTAAAAATATTCAAAGTATCTCAGATTTTTCTCATGGGAAAAAGTACGACTATAGGCATCTTCATCTTTATTGGTTTATTAAAATTTCAAAAGGAACTAAAAAGATTTGGTTTTGTCATTCTAATAAAGCACTAAATGGGTTATCTTTTGAACAAAAAAAAATCAGCTTTTATCATATTCCTGAACAGAGATATATGCAAAGCAAAACTTTTGGCTCATCCGGTATGAAATTTATATTAAACTGTACGTTTTACTTGTTGTAAATTTTCTATGTCAGACATCTTTGTTTGTTTACTATTTTTTCTGGTAAAATTCATTGATCAGAATTTAAATTAAGAAGATCACCTTGGTTCAGTATATTTGTTACTAAACAATAGATTTTAATTGCAATAAAGACTTTTATTTTATTTTTATGATGTTCTTTTATTTTCATTTATCTAAATTTTGAAATACTTGTGTTTTTGAGCAGTCTTCAGATCTTGACACTCGTTCTAATAAAGTTCTTAGAAGTTCAAAAAATTACATTTCTATTGAGTAAAAAAGAACAAACTAAATGATAATTATCTAGTTTTAATATAAAAAAGATTAACTTCAAACTCAAATTGTTAAGCATTAACTGTAACCTGTTCTTTGGTGAGTTAATCTTTAAAAGTCTCATCTATGCTCTCAATTCTTTTTTTCATTTCTATAAAATCAATCATAACACATATTTTTAAAATATGATATATGATCTTTATTCTTTTTATTCAAATAGAATTTCAATTTATTTTAATTTCTCTTGCAATAAATTTGAAATTAAGAAAAAATTACATTTGAATTCTATTTATTATATTAATACATACAATCATTAGACACAATACAAAACAATATTTTCTTTTTTTGACAACATCAACAATCAATATAATGTTTTTCTTTTGTATTATAAATCATGTTTGTTCGATCAGATTTCGAGTTTGAATAGGTGCAGTTGATGTAATAGCTTGAATAGCCCTATCATTGAATATCTATCATCTATATTGACAAAGAATTGTTTGAATACCTACTTTTATTCTATACATAAATATTGAACGAAATAAATGACTTGATAATGTATAAATATAAAATGATTTTGCAAAATTAGCATAATAAAGTATAATTGTAAATGACATCAAAAATGTATCTACTAATCCTTCATATCCAGTAGCTCTTGGTTTCAAAATGTAATAAGCATAAGAAATCATACGAGTCATTATTAATAATGAACTTAATCCTACTTGACAAAGCATCATCTATTATAAAGAAGAAAAAAAAACAAAAAAATTTTTTTTTTGTCATGTCTATCATTGATTTCAAATAGAAAATTATATGAGAAATATATTTTAATCTCAATTAATTACTTACTATAATCAATTGTTTATCTTTTTTTCTTTCAAAATATTGAGTTTGATGATAAATCGTGAGATTTATTGTTTGTAATTGAACTCTTATTCGTCGTTTTGTTCGTCGAATATTCATGATAGTCAAAAAACCAAATATTAACATTGATATATGAGGAATTACACCCAACCAAAATATAACAAACATACTATCGAACATAGCATAAGAACCTGGTCTAGTTGCACATATTGGTCGAAGATCATATGAAACAAGAATATGAGAACATGATAAAAAACTAATGACAATAGCTATTATTATTGCACGATAAGCTATTTTCATTTGACTAAATGAACGAAGACGAACACTCATTGATGATGACATATATCGATCAACGGATGATAATAAAACTAAATACATAGATACTAATGGAATTGCCGAAACTAAATAAGCACGAAGTTTACAATAGACTCGATTTGTATTTAATAGAGTACTACCAAGATGATCATTAGCAAATCGAGTCGTAACACCAAATATAATCGATAATAAATCAAATATAGTTGCACAAAGAAAATAGAAAGCACAAGAATTTTTATGTAATTGTATTGCTGTAAAAGTAATAAAATTACAAATACAACCAAAAATACCAAAACTTAAAACAAGAATTGGACCATAATAATTTACTGCACTTGTAACAGTTTGTATTGTAGTAACTGTTGTTGTCATAATAGAAGATAATATTTTGGTTAGATTATAATAGAAAGTTTGCTTTTTTTCTTTGAACTGAATTTGTTTGTATCTACTAAGTATATACAAAACTGAATTGTTGAAGAGAATTTTATTAGTTTTTGCAGAGGAAAAATAATGAGATAAATCAAAATAGAAAAAAATGTAAATGTAACGATATATATACAGGGTGTCCCAAAAGTCCCCAACAAAAGTTTTTGTAAATATCTCTTATACAATTTCAGCGATTTAATTGGTTTTTTTTATAACATGATATCATATTCTTTTAAGTTTTATTTTAATAACAAAACCGTTAACAGATACTATTTTGAACCGTCACTTTTGACTTCAATATCCAAGTGTACCCACTTTCGATTTCTAAACTAACATTTTCGAAGGAAATTTCCCGAGATACTTATTCCGACCTGAAACGTTGACCAAATCGAGGGCTCACTCAGACTAGCTTCTGTATAAAATTTCAGAAGTTTTCGATGTAGTTTTTCTGAGATATGAATTTTTCAAAATTTAGGCGTTTGTCCATGCAACTTTTGCAAAATTTGAAAAATGCATATCTCAAAAATCCTAGATCCAAAAGTTCTAAAATTTTGCACAGAAGCTAGCCTGAGTGAGACTTCGCTTTGGGCAAAGTTTCAGGTCAAAATTCGAAACTATAATTGTCTTTTGAAAATGGGGGTCATCATGGACACAACCCACTAAAAATTTCATATCTCAGCCAAAACTGCATAAAAGCATGAACCTTTTGGAGGTCGTTGTAGTAGAGTGGTCGTGTAGCAAAAGGAAAAATATGACCTCAAAAGTGTCTAATCATCATATGAGCTCAACAGCTTTTCATCATCTCGGGTACTCGTATTTTTGAAAAATCGAAAATGGAAACATTTTGATATTGAAGTCAAAAGTGACAGTTCAAAATAGTATCTGTTAACGATTTTGTTATTAAAATAAAACTTAAAAGAATATGCTATCATGTTATTAAAAAAACGATTAAATTGCTTGAATTGTATAAGAGATATTTACGAAAACTTTTCTTGGGGACTTTTGGGACACCCTGTATGTATATTGAACGAATGAAAACTATTGTTTGAAATAAATTTAATAAAGCACAAGTATACTTTTAATTGTAATTCTATACTTTGAGACTATTGCGAAGATTATTATGAAAATTTAAATGTCATATTATTTCTTTTCATGCTAGCGCATCTCATCCTATCTTAATCTCTTATCTTTTTATTTAATTGATTAAGACATCAAAATAAAATAAAAAATCTAACGCCATTTTTTTTGCGTCATAGTAAAGAAGCTTTACTTTTCATAATTCTAATGAAGAATAGTATTTATTTTTTCTTAGCTATGCACTTAAATAAACAATTCAATGTTTCATGTGGCAAAGTCGATTACTTTCTTTCTATATATTTTTTTTTTTGCGACAAGATCAAAATTCTTCAAGTTAATTAATGAATTGTTTTCGTTTGGCTATATGTACACAAAAAAATTACAAAACAAGGATCGATGAAAACCGAACTATGAAATTTGAATCACATGAAAGAAATTGTTAAGCATTATAGTTTTTTTTTCTAAACTAAATATCTATCTGAATAACTGATTAATAAAGTTTTACTTGAGTCATAATGATTGTGATATCTAATATTTTGAAAATATTTCAGAACAGATAAATTATTTGATCTTGATCTTTCTTTTTCTTAAAAGATGAGTAATGAAATTCTCTCCGAGAATAGTAATGAGAAATCCTATTGAGTTAGTTTGATGATTTTTTTTAGAAGGGCTAAAAGTGAAGCACTGTATGATAGTTAAATCTTTCACTATTCTGAGAGAGAAACAAAAATGAAACTAACATTGATTATTTTACATTCATTGTGAAATCCTTACTGCATTTACATTAAATCTATCTTTAAATTGTACTGATGCTTTTGTTCTTCAATATCAAAGAGTAAAAATCTTTGTGATATCGTTATTGTTCATTTAAAAGAACAGAAAAAGAAAACTTCTAAAATTTCAATTATATTAACTAATAAGGTGTATTATGCTACAGTTCATCTTTAGACACAGCAAGTTAATTAAAGTGGTTCAATTGATACACACAAATCGCTTCAACAAAAATAAAATAGGCGCACCAAAAGATAAATTAATTGAGAAATCTAACACTTTTTTTCCGTTTTTTAAATAGACAATGATGATAACGTCACAAAGATTTTTACTCTTTGACATTGAAGAAAAAATTCATCAACACAGTTCAAAGATTGATTTAATGTAAAAGCAGTAAGGATTCCACAATGAATGTAAAAAGAAACATTTTTGAGTTTTATACTTTGTAAATTGTCATCGTATATGCAAAATAATCAATGTTAGTTGCATTTTTGTTTCTCTCAGAAAAGTGGAACATTGCACTATCATACAGTGCTTCATTTTTAACCTTCTAAAAAAATCGTTCAATTAACTCAATAGAATTTCTCATTACTATTCTTAGAGAGAATCTCATGAGGCATTTAAAAAAAAAATCAAGATCAAGTCATTTATCTATGATGAGATATTTGCAAAAAAATTAGATGTTACAATCAATATGATGCACTTGGTGGTTTTATACATTACAAGAAAATGAATTCTAAAATAGAATAAATGCTGTAATTTTTAACAAAATGAACTTGATAAATACATAATTAAAATATCTGATATTGAGCGACGTTATCTTTTAAGCTAAAAAAGATTTGTAGCTTTTTTGACTTAGTCGAGGTATATGATAATGTTTGACAAAGCAATTTTTTGTGATGAAGAGAGAATTAAGAGATTATGGCTTAAGAATATGTTTTTTTGTCAAATAACTATTCATTCAAACAAATAAAAACACATAATTACTTATTTACTTGTGTTCAAAGTGTTCTATTCACTGTTATCTTGAATATCGATTATTGGACAGTTTGTTTTTTTTTTCGTAAGACCGATTATAAACATACCAATAAATGGGTTTTCATCAAAACAATGAACATATGATATATATTGCTTTGTATAATTAATTATTGAAAATTAATATTTTAAAGAAAAGTCTTACGAGTAAACTGATCGAAAAAAGTAATAAAAAGATTTTTTTCAACAAAAATCAGTCATCAAGGTAGTAAACTGACAGTAGACTAAACCTAAAATGATTCGTTTACTTATGGTTTTCTTTTTCAGTTATGACTATTTCACTAAATATTAGGCATAGTGCAGGATGTATCAAATTAGTTGTTGAGAAGAATGTTGCCTGAAAACCTTGACTGTAGACCAAAAAACAAAAATCAAGCAACCTAAACTAATTGATCTTCAAAAACAGATGAGAATTAATCTTGTGAATTGATTGTTAAATAATCATATTGTAGATGATACTAAATTTAGATTTAAATGAAATATATATACAATGCTCAGAATGACCAAATGTAGGCTGTGAAAAGGCAAGAAGCCAACAAGAAAGATGTTATTCATAAAAAAACAAATTTCTCACTAAAAGTGATGTGAAGTTTGTCTAATAGCTCTAAAGTTCAACAACAAAATGTCAGGAATCAACTCGACAAATACACAAGATGGTGCAAAACCTCACACACATCATTTGAACGAAAAATGACATATCTATCATTTTGCTATATTCATCCGAAAGTCTCGTTGACCATCAAACTCATCTGATTTTTGTCGATTAAATTAGAGCTCATGGAATGAATAGGCTAAAGCTATAAATTGGAGACATCCAACAGCAAAAGCAGTACAAATAGACGAAATAAGGCGTTCATACGAAAAGATTAAAAAAAAAATTTTTTAAATTTTATACATAATTTTACTCTACGATTAAATATAATGAAAGACACATGGAGAAGACCATATTCATTAAATAAAACATATCATATTGTAGAAAATTTCATGTGTTTCTTTTGATAAACAAAAAGTATTTTAATTGAAGGCTTAATAGAGTAACCTGTGGTTTGGACTGTAATGCGGTGATATGATCTTTTACATACACTTAAAGTTTCAACTAATAGCACGAATGTTTTGTTCTTAAGACATCAGTTTCTCAACTAATGCGCATATTTTACAAAAGATATCGAAACATTGGGTTTCCTCGTAAATCTATTATTGTTAAAAGAAAATATTATTCTAGCTAATACTTTCGATGTATGATATGGACTACAACATCTTGTTATAGTCGAAATTTCAGACCAAGATGATGGCATTTGATTTTCTATTTTATATCATACACTAGACTAAAAACTCAGTGAAATAGTCAAAACTCATGAACGAAACAGTTGACGGAAGACGTTAGTGTTCGAAATGAAAATTTTACCCTAAAGCAATATCCTCTCATTATCAGACTCAACTTATCGACTATTATATCAATTTATCTGCCAGCGACAACATGTTTACGAATCTTATTTTCAATGAATACTTCTATGAGTGATCAATTACAGAAGAAACAACATTTTCAGAAGACTTTTTTCATCTGTAGAACTTTGTAGAGCTCGTTGTGCTAATCATTTGAACAATTTGATTATAGAGACGTAGTGGGGTACCCAATTTTGATGCTCCGCCATAGGTCTATGCAATACCGATATGAGCTTGTTTTTGATCCGTAGGTTTTCACTTCAGTCAACTCAGTTCTATAGGAAGCTGAATCTACATAATAGATACGAGCTGAAGATGTATTACCGAAAATATTCAGAGGACGATATTGCGATATAGAATCCAGAAAAAATGGTTTTACTTGGCCCTAGTGAACACCTAGAAAACCTTTTTTCGAATGAATCAGATCAGGTTTATGATAACCGGGTTGCCTGCGAGTTGTGTATAGAGCGTTGCCAAAACTACCATCCGATTTTCGATTTTCAATCATAAAAGAGCTGGTTAACTGGCCAACGCTAAGACCAATGTTTATATCACCTTGTGAATTAGTTTTATTTCTTATTTGATACAAATGAGCTCGATAGATTGCATCGAAAAGAGGACGCTGTTGTGGATACAAGAATGACAATGTTTGATAGGCAGCTTCTATTATAGATGCAATCATTCCATATTGTTTAGCAATAGAATCGTTGGACAACGGTCGACTTCCTTCTGTAACATGTTGATGGATTCGATCGAAACTTTTCACCGCCTCATACATGGCATTATGAATGATAGCAAAGGCACGCGCTGTTGCTGCTGGATCATCTTGGTCTGGTCTGAAAACTACAACTTTATCATAATCATTTGCACAAGCTTGCAGCACGACTTGGTTCCAAAAAAGAATGGGATGTAATGATGTTGATCGCAGATCATCCTGAAGCGTATCATCAATATGATTCTGTAAGATAATATTACGTTTGGTAAGAGAATAGCTTGTAGCAATTATTGCAGTTACGAATACGAAGAATGATAGCTTAATATTGCAACCCATTTTTCAATTGTTTGATACAATTCGTTTGGTTACTACTTTATATACATCAACGGATTTGTCAACAATAATATAGGTACAGACCCATTACAAAGATATCTCGAAAAATATCTATTACTTAGACAGCGTATGGGATGGTATTAAGTGAAAGAGGGAAGTGCACTATGTGTATGCAGCACTGCTTACATCGCCTACAAAAAATACAGTTATCACTTTACCTTGTAATTTATCCTGACGGATCAAGTTTCTCTATGTGACAAATAGCGTTGCAACTCGTTTCTGCTACTTCCTTTGAATAATATTAGCTCAATAGCAACACTTGTAATTATCATCATGCGTGATAACCAACAAAAGATACATTTGATTATGAAAACAATGTATAGTCAACAGAGATGAACAATTTTGATTGCAGTTAACTAGAGTTACATTCCTTTTCTCAAAGTTGAATGAAGCGTTGGAGTCATGCTTCTCCTTCCAAAATCCCGAAGTTGGAATCCTTCAAGCAAAATAGAAAATAAAATCACGAGGAGAAAATCGAAGCTGTCCCATGTTTCAAAGCAAACGCACCATAGTAGAAAAAACAGCTTTCAGTGCAACCTATATAAACATATATTGAAGAGTGTCAAGTGCGAGTGTCGGTGGAGATGTGAGTCTCGTCTTCATTCTCACCGACACTATACTCAAGAAAAATTTCGGAGCTGCATTTCGGAAATTTTCGTCCGGACTATCTCAAAAAGAAAATTGGATGAGTAAGACAATGTTCGTTCTCATGTGTAAGCTTCAACGCTAGACTATTTCAAAAAAAAACGTCATCTTACATTGATTTCCTATGCCAATAAATAGCCTAGAATTAAATACATTGAGAATAATTCATTTATTGTTGAGGATAAACTACTAAAGTTTGACCATAGTAATACTAATTAGTTAAAAAATACCATGCGAGCAGCAAGGACAAAAATTTCAAACGATTCAATACGACAACTTTTCGAATCAATGTCAGGACGATTTCAACAAGTAGGGGTGTTGGATAAAAACTAACATTAGCATTAATGATTGGGCCTAATGCTTAGATGTTAGTATTAATTTAGCATTATTTTTAATTCTAATACAAATACTTCGTGTCAAGTCTAGACTTCTATCTTGATATACTACTTTTAACTTTTCAAGAGCTATCTGGTGGCACTATTTGTAACTTTTCAACGGCTGCCATATAGTACCCTTTGTAACCATGCAAAAAATTTTTTCTACTAGTAAGAAAATAATTTTTTTTCGAATGTGACACGAAAAAAATCGAACTTCTTCTCGCTAGTCTAAATTTTCTCTATCAGAACTATGCTTCTTTATGAAGAAAATATTATAATCAAATTCAGCATAAAAAGGAAGTAGATTCAAATATTCTTCGCAATATTTTCAGTTCGTTACTAGAAATGAAAAAGAATTTAAAACGGCGATTTTTATTTCTTTATTCATAAAGAGGCGGTTAGAATGGCATACAAATGAAGATATTGTCTCATTGGAACAACAATACATAAACTATGCTGAAAATCAGTTGATACAGTCGGTAAAACTGAAGCCCATGAATTCTTAGAATCCGTATGTAATATGTGACGAATTTCGAGACGATATTTTTACAGTCAACTCTATACAAAGAGTCTCTATAAATCAAACTAGTGTGACTGAAAGTTAGAATCATGAAGAATAGTTGATTCCTTTCCTTGAAGGTTTTTTTATTTACAGATTTTGACATCCTTAGAATGTTTTCGTATTTGTTTTCATGTGACTTTATCCACTCAAAACATAATACAATATTCTAAATCAAAGTATAAAACTGAAACTAGCTATGTCTGGTTGCAGTAAAAACGAATTCAGCTTTAATTTTGCAGTATTTCCATTTTATACGTTCATATGCTGTCCTGCATAGTTGAGAACGCATGCATATTTTATATTAAAACACTAATAAAATGTTCTAGATAACACACTCGAAATTTTCCATTAACCAGATCAGCAACCACATTATTCTAGAAATATTAGTTCATTATTTATAAAATATTGTGCATCATATTGAAGAGGTTCTCACAAAACAAATACTGCTATAATGTCAATATAGAAGCTGAGAAATTACAAAGAGTACATCCAGGTAGCTCTTGAAAATGTAAAGGTAGTTGCTCACTTATCAGTCTATGACTCACATGCAATATATGTATTACAATTAAAAATAATACTAAATTAATGCCAACACCACGACACTCCTATCAAAAAGTAATCAATCGTAGAGGTCTTTTTTGTCATTCATAGTCCTTCATTGTTCTTGTATAAAAATATTTAGAATGTAAAAGAACTAAAGAACAGAGTAAAAAAATATGAGCGGAGATCTATAATTTTCCCGCAGCATTTTTCTCTTTCTATCGATCTCTGCGTGTGTACAAAGCAAGAAAAAAAAGATAATGGCGACAAAATCAGTGTACTACATAGACTCGGCTTATTTTAAAATACCGATATAGATTAAACGATTAGATCTCTTTCTGAAATACAGTCTTCATTTATTTATAAATTGCATAGGGAATCTATAATTTTGCTACAAACTATAGGTACAATTAACATGAAATTGTCCGAAAAACTGTGTTCACCACTGCATGTAAGAATTTAAGAAAATTCAATTCCACCATCAATGATAATACTTTGTCCAGTCATGTAGTCAGAATCTTTGCTTGCAAGGTACGATACAAAGTTTGCTACATCTTCTGGTTCACTTGTACGACCAAGTATTATGAGATTCTTTGAGTAATCTTTGATGACCTCTCCTTTTTGCTTGCCTTCGATTTTCGCCAATTCTTCGTCAGCCATATCCCACATCGCAGTTTGGACAATTCCTGTTTTCATTGTAAGATAACAATTATTTATTTCGAAGAAACTATTATGAAACATACCGGGACAATAAGCATTGACCGTTATCTTGTGTTTTGCCCATTCCATGGCAGCGGCTTGTGTAAGGCCACGCACACCCCATTTACTGGCTGAATACGGACTCAACATTGGAAATGGCTTGTATCCGACGATACTGCAAGCTCCAATAATTTTGCCTCCTTTACCTTGATCAATCATAACTTTGGCAGCTTCTTTGTAACAAAGAAATACACCACGCATATTGGTTGCGAATATGTTGTCCCAGTCTTCTGCAGTGACATCAATAAGTGGTTTCACCTGAGCAATTCCTGCATTAGCAACCATTACCTGTAATATTAGATCAAAATAGGTGAAAGAACTGGAGCAAAAAAAGATGCTTACGTCCAAACTACCCAATTGTTTTGCGACGTTCTGCATCATCGCTTTAACTTCTTTATCGATAGAAACATCAGTGGTGATGGCGACAGATTTCCTACCAATTGCTTCAATTTCTTTTCGAACATTCTTGAGCTCTATTGAGTTTGCTGCAATATCATTGACAGCCACATTGAGACCATCTCTAGCAAGGCGAAGAGCAATTGCACGTCCAATACCTCGTGCAGCACCAGTAACTAAAGCATTGCGCGACATCTAAAACATTACCACTGAATATGATAGAAAAGGACTAGAAAAAAAAGTTTCATTGAGCCATTGGAAGATAATGATATGAAACTCTATATAGATCAATTTACACTTTGATAGCTGCAGCAGTATATCTTACAGAGAAAGATCGATACTATATCTATAAGAAAAATTTCCTCTTTATAAGTTATTTTCAAGCTGCTCGTCTATATTTACACTCATACACAGCGCTTTTGAGTCCCTGTGTTTCTTACAAAGATTGGTGAAAGTGAAGCGAACCCTATTTCATCCTGGAACTGGATGAGATGGAAGCAGCGTCCTCGATGCTTTAACTAAAAGAAGCAAAATTCATCTAACATATTTTATGCGAAGCTGTGCTCTAACAAAATTTCACATTTTCATTTTCAATCTTGAAGCATTAATCGAGTTTTCACGGATTAGGAAATGCTTTCATATTGTGGACGGTATTCAGCGTTCGATAGTGCCAAAAGTACGAGAAGCATTTCTAGGACGCCTGACCATATAAACCCATAGCGATTGTGTCAGAAAGAAGACGAGAAATACAGATGGCTTGGTACACATTTTCCACTGCATCTTCACTATAGCACTTCTCACTCAAACTATAAGATAACAATAGGTCAACAACTGCTCGTATCTAATATTTCTCTTGGACCATGAGTACCTAATGGAGAAAAAATGTTTTTATTGTTCTGAGGAATTCTATGTAGCGGACTCAAATGTGGGATTTTCTTCTTTCAGACTTCATCATTTGTGCAGTATTATTGCAAAATCAAGAATACAGTTCAGAATAGGGTTCGTCAGAAAACTTTGAAAAAGAAAAAAGATCGGAAAATAGACAAATCCAGAACATTCTGTATCGAGATTCAGCAGCTTCTTCAACAAAGCCATTGAGGATGTGCTAGCGTATGCAAGAGTTGGGTAAAAGTGTCAAAGAGAGCGTATGAGCTGAGGACAATAATGAGAATGTTAGTGTATAAATGTAGAGTCAGTCAAGTAGTAAAGTCTTCACTCACACACTTCTCCACTTATTGAAGTTCATCTTGTTTATGGTTTCAGTCGAAATTGATTAAAAAATGTCTACTTTCCTAGTCTGTTTAGATTTACGTCCTTTCTATACATCCATTTCTATCCGTTAGAATTGTTGTTTCTCTTCTATTTTTGCCATTTTATGCGTTCTTTTCTGTACGTTCTTGTTTCTACTTTCCTTTTTTATACATCCTTTTCTGTACGTCCTTTTTTAGTATATCCTTTTCTATACTTCATTTTCTGTATCTATTTTTCACTATGTCCTTTTTTATACTTTCTCTTCTCTGCTTCATTTCTTATACATGTCTTTTTCTGTGCGCTTCTTTTCGTATGTCCTGAGGGTATCATGTTAGAATTGTAATCTATAACATTTCAGGTACTGCAAACATCACCCACTAGGCTACGAGAGCACCTGAGATACTACGAACAACAGCTGGGATGCTACAGCAATGATGCAGGCATGTCGTTAGACTCTGACGGTAACATCTAAGATGTTTCAGACACCACCTTCAAGGCTATAGGTAGCATGATCAATTAACACTTGAAATACCATAGATAACAAGTTCAAGCAGTTCCTAAAAACTTATAAACAGCATGCTCAGGTAGCCTTTGAAAGCTTATATAGAATATATGTATTAGAACTGACAATAATGCTAATTTAATGCTAACACCTCAGCATTAATTAACTCTAATGTTAATACGCCTGAAGCATTAGTCATAATGGTTAATCCTATTGCAACACTCCGAATACGTTCTTTTAAGTACTATCAAAGCGTAAAATAAAGATAGACTTAACTGTGTATATAGAGATGACTATGGATTGTGGCTTTTAGCGGGGCGCTACACAGATATAAAAGATTAGTAACGCAAGCAATTTTTTAAAATTTTGTTTAACTGAATTCTACATTCAAATTTTACACGTGTGATAGATTTTGACGTTTTTGACTGGAAATTTGAAAAAGACGTACATCTAAGAATACGATGTCATGATATGATTATAGTTAAGATTTAACCATATTTTAGTTCTCTCTCAAAAAAGGCTTTCTTTTCTTTTATCAGCATTTTCCGAAAAAATCATCAAGCGAATTCTATGATCTACTGACATTTAAGCAATATTTTTCTGCATTCTCTTTCTCTAAACGGACTATTAGATGTATCAAGGAGAGCGTTACTCCAGAAGTGCATCATGCATTTGCACCAATGAATCATGGGTATGGATGTGGGTGTGGTATGGATCTTTTCTTCATCTACACCTACACTCCATCCTCTTCCATTAGACTGTCAAAAGTAGTGTACGCGGTTTCAACTTTTTTTTTGTATTTCTTCAATATGATTCTGTTGATCATTAATTGTCACAAAAATATCAAATCGTAATACTGAACTGTATGAACCGTCAAAATACGATCAAATACAACGCAATAAAGTTGTTTACGGCCGTATCCTAATCCCAAAGCCTTCGTTCTAGATACATGCCACAAACATTATTTCATTCAATGACAGTAAACAAAACAAATAAAAAACAAAATCAAGACTATTTTCTAATTACAAAAAAGAGCTTATAAAATCACTCATTTTATGGATTCGCTCAGGTTCTTAGAAGAGAAGACGAGAAATAATTTCTTCCTTTATAACAGGTAGATGCCTTATCTTACAAAGTTTCACATTAGATAGCAATTTAATCTAATAGAATATTTACATATATCATTATTTTCCAAACTATCGGGCGGTAACATTGTACATTATATTTGTTCAGTAAGCCAATTAAGTGAATACTCAAATTGGAATTGGTGCACAGGTCCAAACAAGGGTAATCTACAATTATAGAAGCGTTATAGAAAAGTAGTCTTTATCATATTCATTAAATACATTTTATGACGTTCAATTATATTAATATAAGTTGCCTATTGAAATAAGTGATTAACAGTTATATTATTATTTTTTAAATCATTAAAATCAATTGATGATAAAATGTCGAGAACTTCATTTTCTTTATATTCTGTCATGTTGATTCATATATAAAAAGGAATAATATGATATTAAGTCATGTTAGAATTGTGAGTTTCATTGTCATGTATATATTGACAAAGACAATATCGATCTTCATCTTCTATTGGATTCGTGTTGTACATAATTATCGAACATGATGTTTGACATACCATAAATAGCATAAACAAGCGATTCCAGAACGTAAGTACTAACATATATCTTGAAAATAAGAGAATACTTAAACTACAATGAAGATATTTCAAATAACTATGAAGTTAAAATTTTTCTTGTGTTACTAGAATAATTTTAGTTGAAAGTATTTGTTTCATCAATTATATTCAAAATGTGTTGATTTAAGACATATTTTATTTATTAAAACATTCATTGTCAAAGAAATCATGCTCAAGTATTTGACAAACAAGTGATTTATCAAAACTTTCTATCTTTACTTTTTCATAATCTGATAAGATCGAACAAAATCAGTAAAAGATTGTATGAGATTGATGTTAATGGTCAACAGTTTTCACATATGCAATATCATTTAGCTAGAATTAAAAAAAACAAGAAGAATACATCCTATTCCACGATATTGAACATTTTAGAATCAATTTCTTTCTCGGAAACCAATAACCAGTTTTCGGTAGTTATTTTGCAGTATTAAAGGGTGTGAGTGTTGGTCTCCGACTGTTCAAATAGAACATGTACACACTCATCTCTTTTGACATCAAGAAGCAGAACTGAATGAGATATTCTTGAATGATAAAAACACTAGAAATCGAAAATGGCATCGATTGACCTGAAGTACTTAAAATAACATTGAGTTGAAGATGAGGAATTGCATAATATCATTTTTTAAAACTTTCATTGAAATTCTCAAGCAGCGGTGAGTAAATTGACCATTCGTTGAGATACGTTTTAAATGTTTCATTTTTATATCGCTAATTTCTGAATTAATAGATAAGCTACGCATGTTTTTTTAAGTTTAGTGAATGCAGAAATGAATTGTCTTTTCTATGATAGAAAAAAACAGAATAATTTAGTCCTTAAAATAGTCGAAATATTGACGGTAGAACATAGACACTCCTAAAAAAGTGTTTGCTCTAATAAATATACAAATGAACGAACAGTCTTTTGTTGTAGCCTGCTCAGCGCATCACTTTCTTTGGAGTAAAGAAAATAAAAATAAGTGCAGAACAGAAGAAAAAAAGCTTTTATTATTAGCAACATAGAAAGAACATGAATATTATCTAGATGTATTTAGTTTTTCGTCGCACTTCTATGTTCATTGAAATGCACATGTATAGAGATCAACTCTTTTGAACATTATTTTGCCTTTCTACAACTGTAAACTTGTTTTCTTTTTCATAAAAAATCCAATAGATTTAATTGAAATGACAATGACTTTGTATTGTATAAGCTTTATGAAAAGGAATGAGCATATTAATAAGTTTTTTAATGGATATTTACTAAATATAGTTTCTCTTAACTATTGTTATCATTGAAAATATTTTTTGGATTAATAGAAAACATTAGCGAAGATATATAGGATTCATCATCAAAATACTTTTGTAATGATTGTAAACATGAAAGATTTATTGTTGATTCTTTCCTGACAAACATTATTAGAATATTAATTTAATATTTTCATGCAAAAAATCTTTTGATAAACGTTTAAACTAGAAGTGAAAATACAAGCTTATTTTTACTATCTACTATTTGGTCATCATTATATGAATTGCAAATCTTCTTAAATTCTTTCTAACACTATACAGTAACACAGCTGAGTAACTCTAATTTCAAATCAAAGTTCTATGAAACTCTTGTTCACTTGACAATAAAATTAGATTGTGTACAACATAATTTTTTCGATCACAGTTGTAGTAATCTACGTGTAAAAAGTCTTGGTACAAAAGTTTTGTTCAATTTTCGACTACTTGAAGGTCGCAGGACAGACTCAAAAGTAGTCATTTAGAATCAGAACTCGATGGTCTTTCTAAATATATTTTTAGAATTTTGCTCTGACTCTTAGCTAGTTAGCTGTAAGCAAATACATGAATAAATAAAAAAACTCGTTGACAACATGTAAAACGCACTTATTTTTCTCTCGTCCGTAATATTGCTAAAAAGGTATTATAGGGTAATTTTAACTTCCTATTGTTGAAGAGAATTACATATTCTACAAAACTATGAGTTACAATAAACTAGAACCCAAAAGGATGAAAAGTTACAAATATTTTTCGGACTGCTACTCTTCCGATGAAATGACATTTTTCAAAAAAATAATCGTTTATTCCATATTGTACTGTTTGACGTTCAAGAAAAGCTAATGATTTGTAATGATGTGTTAGAAACAAAGTAAATTGAGCATTTTGTAGAGAAGCTTCATTTTGCAAATTGGTGTATAAAATCTCTTTCGCTTAATTTGAACTGAAGCACTTTTAACCAAAATACAAAAATGGTCTGGATGAAATATTTTGTACAAACGTCGTTTTCGATCCCCATTAAATATCTGCTCCTAATGAATCAAATTCAAGTTAGAATAAAATTCTGAATATATATTTAGAAAAAGCATGAAATTTTCTTTCTAACTGACTACTTTTGAGTCTGTTCTGCGACGTTCAAGTGATTGAAAATCGAACAAAACTTTTGTACCAAGACTTTTTATGCGTAGATTAGAATGTTCAAAAAATCTACTATTGTAGTTGGATTAGAATGTAGCAAATATAGGGAAAAAATCGAAGTAGGGATTTGAGGAATACACATGATAGCGGAAGTAGCACATAGGCAAAATTGTTTATTTTTCTCTTTATTGTCGTTCTGTTTAAGAATTAAACATGATTTACAATAGCCTATATTTTTTTTCTTGTAATCACTGTTTTAATAAATGAATTATAAAATATTGAACATATATAGGTTGAAATTCTCAAATGAATTGCGACGGAATGAACGAATCAGGTTCAAGGCTAGCCTCGTGGTATAACAAGGTCATTTTAATATCAAAAGAATTAAAAAGTACTTGGAGCTCTTTAAGAAGATTAACTACTCAAATGAGCATTAATGTTCATTTGATATGCTGATTTAGTTCTGAATAAAACAGAACAATAGTTCTTGTATTGCTTTATTAAAGATGTGAGGACATGCATTCCGAAAAAAATAGAATGATATTAGTTAGATTAATATGCAGTTAATGAAATTTTTTTTAATAAAACAACAAATGTTCCAGTAACTCGAGTATAACTTTTTCCCAAAAAAAAAAAAAAACTTTTCTCTTATTCATCTCGGCAAACATAAGTGGATTATAGATAATTAAAATATAGTTCAAAAGTCAAAACACAAGCTTACTATCCATTCATTTTTATAATTCATTCAAAAAAAAATTTTTTCTGTAAAACAAACAATTTTTTCAATAGGCAACGTATCAATTTCATTATCTGAATTGGTATTATAAATTTGAGAATATAATTTAAATTGAAAGTATTTTATCATAGTTTCAAAAAAAAACACACATGACTTTTTGTCAATAAGATCATAAAATATTCAACAGAAAAAAAAAAGATTTTTATATAGAAAAATATTCTATGCATCATTATTCAATGAAGACAGTATTCGGAAAAGCTCAAAAGTTTCAAATAATCTTCTTTCCGCAAGAAATAAAAGTCTTCCTTTGAAAAACAATATGTCGAACGTAAAAGAACACCTCTCTTACTTAATTAATTTCTCATCCAATTGAAATTTTCATTAGTATATTAATATGAGAATATTCCTAGTTTTCTGAATTTTTGAATTGAAAAGTCTTGCAAGATTAAAGTCGATACTAGTCCTAAATTTTTCAAAAATCTAAAAATCTCTTCTATTTTTGAATAAATTTTTTTAATTAAAAATTATGAAAAAATATATGAGATACAATTGAAGACTCCTACGGAAAAATCTGTACTCTCATTCATCATAGTAATAGCCCTGGAGTCTTTCATTACATTATATTAATAACCATCAAAATTGTTCAAACAATATTTATTACATAAGTTATCATTTATTCTTAAAAGGATGAATGTCTGAACAAAAAAAAAAAAAAAACCTCGATTCATGTATGTAAAAATAAGCATAGAAAAAGTTTAGTTCATCCAATGAATTTATTTCATCTAGTACAATATTAATTTAAAAATGAATATTTCTCTGAACAAGTTTGACTTTCTCTTGGGACTGAAGAGGATAATAAGTAAAATCTTTATTTTTTTCCAACAGAAAGAAAAAATAAATGAAGAAAGGAAGAAAGGAAAAAGAGAAAATCTTCAGTAAAAAAAATTATCTTGATAGACTCATTATGGCTTCTTTAACAGCTACAGATATTCTTCATATTAGTCAAAGATATACATTGTATACTAGTTATATTACACTTATTATTGGATTAATTGGAAATTTTCTTACTATTATTATTTTTACTAGTTCTAAAGCCTTTCGAAATAATCAATGTGTTTTGTATTTTGTAACAGAATCAATATCAAATATATTTCAATTAATAACATTTGCTGTTATACGTTTATTAATCGCATTAAATGATATTGATCCAGCTAATTCAGTACTTTTCTGGTGTAAAACTCGTGCTATAATGATTACATTATGTACATTAATTTCATTTTCTGCAATATGTTTTTCTGCTTGTGATCAATATCTTTCAACAAGTCTTCAATTCAATTTAAGAAAATTGAGTACAATTAAATTGGCTAAAACTCTTATATTCATAGCAATTGTTATATCAATATTACATATGATTCCATATTGTATTTTTGTAGAAATTCGAACTTCTTTATGTGGTATTTTCAATCCAATGATGTCTCAATATTTAACATTTTTCTATTATCCAATATTATCAGGACTTTTGCCTATTTTCATAGCATCATCATTTAGTATTTTAGCATATCGAAATGTTCGACGAATTGTTCGACGACAAATACCAATAGTTCGTCGACGACTTGATCGACAATTGACAGCAATGGTTCTTGTTCGTATTATTGCATTTGTTATTTTAACATTACCTTATGCTCTTCACAGAATGTATACCTATCTTACAAGAATCAATCAATCAAATCCTTATCCATATGCAATTAATAGTCTCGTTGGAGGAATTATAAGTTCACTTTTTAATTTAAATTATGGAGTAATAGTTTTTTTTAATGTAATACTATTTTTGTTATTCACATAGTATATTTTTGTTTAGATATCTTTTTATATATTTATGGCATCTTCGTTACGATTTCGTCGGCAAGTGAAATTTATTTTAGTCAAGAAAGGTTGGCAACGATTGAAACGATGGTTTTATTGCAGTGAAAATCAAGTTTATCCAAATATGCAGATGCATTCAGTTGCTTCAAGCATTGAACTACAATAAAAAGAACTTGACATTGAATTTTATTAAAAAAATTTTACAAATTTTGTTTTATTATTTCATATAAACTATCTATATATAATGTGCATTAAATTACTATTATTTATTTCAAAATTTTCATATTCTTTGTTTTTGGATCGTTGGGATAGAACGCATTGTATTAAATATTGCATCCAAAAATCTGTCAGAATCAATCTCTTTCTTGTATTAATAGATTATTTCACTATACATCTAGTAGAGAAATCTTTTTTTTCTTTCACACTACGTACTTAGAGACGTATTAAAATCTTTTGTGCAAAGAATTTTTTAATAGAAGATATCCGAACTAAGACTAAGATTCGAACGTTTTTCATTGATCAAGTTCGGAAAATTTGGCTAGATCGAGCGAAGAATTTTACTTTCCAATAAGTTTCTCCAAAAAAACAAAAAAATCTGAGTCTTGCATATAATTATGAAAAGAAAAAAGATTCTTTTCGTTTAATAAAATTATGGAAATATTTTCTTTCATATCATAACACAAAATTGACTAAGAAAAAGTAATATCAATGACTGCTTCAATATGATGCAATGGAAAAATATGTTGAACTTAAATGTGATTCTAAACATGTTACTTGTCTGAAAAATATAAGCCATCAATTTTTTTAATTTCTTTTTAGTTTCCTACTGAGAAAAACTTCTTTTCTCATTATAGCAACGAAAAAATTAAAAAATGCCGTTATGTTTAGAGATATTGGTCATGAAAAAAGAAATTGACTGGTAAAACATTAATTCTATCACAAATTATTTTTCATCAAAATGTCAGCTAAAGGGGATCACAGATGAAATAAGTAGAAAAGAGCTAAAGGTAAACTGATGATCGATTTTTGATGAAAGATACTCTGTAAGAAAATCTATGTTTTGCTAGTTAGTTTCTTATTTTGACTCTCAACATCATATTTGTCTTTCTTAACTTTGAACTTTGCACGGTTTAAGTTTCTAAATTACGACTTTTCTTAATTTTTTTGCTAGTATTATGGAAAAAATTGTTTTTCTCAATAGGAAATCAAAGCAAAATTAAAAATATAATTACTTAAATTTTTTTAGACAAGCAACATGCTGAGAATCACATTAAAAAAAGTGAGGATATCTTTTCATCTGAGAATGTGATATCCTTTCGTAACTCTAGAGATAGCATTTCCTGGAATTATCTACCGTTAATAATATTTTAAAATAAAATAACGATATTTTTTCTAACTAATTCAAATATGCTCTATCCAACTATGTATAAAAAAGTGAGAAAATTAATTGTGAAAATTTTGAATTATGTGCACTTAAAAATCTTTTGAACGACAACACTTATTAACTGATAGTCTTCTTTAATGTGAAATGAAGATAATAGAAGTTTGTTTTGATATAAAATTTGATTATTTCTAATGTGATGAAGTGATCAATCAATGACTGAACTTAGCTTTATGTTTTATCGTTTTTCTCTTTGTTGTTAATGCTTTTTTGATAGCATAATCGAGCATTCTTCGTAGGTCTTCATACGATGTTTTGAATTCTTTTTTTTTTCGTTTGAAAGAACATATCAAGATGCAGGGCATGTTAGAACATTTTTTGAATTAATCCTTTTTAGAATAATACAACAGAGCACTTTTTTTACTAGAACGCCTCTTACTGACAGTTTTTCAAGCCACTGATCCTTTAGGCTCTTTTCTCGGGTTAAAAAGTAAGAATTTCAAAAAAATAAAGTAACGTCATACCTTTTAGCGTGACAGGTTCTTTCAAACAAAAAGCAAATTAAATATATAGAATGAGTATTGACAGAAAACTTTGGATTGTCAAATGAGTTTAACTTTGCCTCTTTGCGACGAATCTCTTTTTCAAATATTATTGCATAGAGCTGAAAACTTTACCATAGACTATATTCACTACACTTTCAACATATCGTGATAATTTTAGACGATTTGAATAGACTCTTCATGTGAAATCGGTTTTTGTGAGGAGAGTGACGTTCATCATAACTACCGATTTTTCTTCATCATGTTTTTGAACTGTGAATGACGCCAACTAAGGCGCATCTTCGACTATTTAAGAAGCATTGATCGGTTGTTAAATTATACCGAAAATAGATTTATAGGTTCTTTTAGACTATCACTAGTTTGATGATAGCATTAAAATATCTAGAAATATTTCTTGCAGTATCGTTCTGCCAACAAGACGGATAACAAATAAATTTTTTTTATACGATATGGCATGTTCATACGTATTAAGTAAGATATAATAATTAGTGAATACAAATTATTGAGTAACTGATAATAGTCGAAAAACTATATAAAATCCAATTAGTAGATTCAATCATAAGAAAAGTGACTTTAGAAACTGTTTTCAAGGTATATCAGATCGAGATTGAACAATGTTCGAACTTCAAACGAAACTTTTCAGACAGTGTCAAACAACGGGACTAGTCAATAATTTGGCTTACGCAAGAACACGAAAAAATTCAATGAAAATATCTTATTTGCAGTTATTCGAGAAAAATAGCAGCAAAGATAATTGCAAATTAATTAATGCAATTCTTCGGAAGATATAAGGTCCAACATTTTTTAAAGTATGTCGTGAAATGAATAATAAATATTCTTTTCAAGGGGTCATATGTAACATTTCAAAGTGAGATTTCAAATTAAATGAATGCAGTTAAGATATTAACTTAGTTCGTCCTTGATAATGTCTCAAGCATAAGCGTTGTTTCAAAATATAAATTATTCCAATTAATGTTATTTGCGGTAACATAGCGTCAGGTAGAATCGTGGGAAGATGCAAATAGATCAGTGAAGAACATCTTAACCATAACAAAGATCAAATCTATATGATTTCTACTTTAACAAATAGTACCAAAATAAAATAATCTTATGCCTTTTATCACGTATTATTTTTTCCGTTGTCACATGTTGCTAAGCACAATGACTAATAGGGTGTGGGTTTTCCTGATATTATCCCACACCCACACCCACCCTTACTGGAAGTTAGACCTGGCTAGGAAAATTTGTAGATGTAGGCAGCTGAAGAGTAGATTCAAACTCACACGAACACATTCTTTCTCTAAACATTTCAAATCACTCTGAGATACATCAAGTCTTGCAAAGAATAAAACAAACTTTGTGCTGAGCTGAGATCTTACGATGGGTGTTTGAGCCAGGTAATTGAATATGCATCACCTTCATTTTGAGTCTTAGTATTGTGCTATTACTCGTTATTAGCTATGAACAAATATAAATTTCTATAAGTCTATTGTGCAAACTACTTATTTTAACGCTCGTGAAAAATTGTGTTTCAAAATTGGAAAACTAAAAACTTGAATAAAACTCCATTTCTAGTAAATGGAGATCAGTTTCAGTCAATGTTCATATTCGTCTGATAAAGTGTTTTTTTTGCAAACGTGTTCGAAATATCTTGTCGTTCATGTACGTTTTCTGATATTTTGAAAATTGGAGTCGGATGTAGAACTAATTGGAACTGGTTGTGCAACCCTTGGAACGGATGGTTGAATATTTCTGTTAGGCACAAATCCTGAAGGACCAACATTTTCAATAACATTAGTGGAAGCAAGATTTTCTTCAAGTTTATCTAAAGTCATTGCTGGAGAATTTTCAATTGACATTGTTCCACTAGCAAACATATCATTGTCATCGATGGCTATTCGACCACCGCCAAGTATAGCATCAACTTTCTCCAACCGCACTTTCGTTTGGTGTAATTGCTGTCGTTTAGCTCGAATAAACGTATCCTCAGCAAGATATGCATCGACAAAATCAGGTTGTTCGATAGGAATCTGTCTCAAACGTTCTCGTATACCAGGACATATGTCAAAGACGCATCCTGCACGTATAGACAAGGCTGTATAATCGATGAAGCGTTTTATTAACAATTTCCAATATGCATAAATACTAATTATCATATCTTGTACTGCTTGATCATCATTCGAGATGGCATCAAACACTGCATTATCATCATCATCATCGTCGTCAGTTATCTTAGAGAAACACATTTTCTCACCTGTTTTACCAGATTTTCGCTCTGCTAAATACTCTTTAAAGTTATTGATCTTATTCATGTAGTAATCATTCAGTGTATACGGATCCTGCTTTTCTAGTCGGATTATTTCTTGCACTTGATCACACACAGCTTGTTTTTTTGTTTTCAAATACATTGAGACAACATTACGAAACGCTGGTAACAATTTTAATAGTAAAATATCTCCATTACAAGCATCTCGATCATTATCCAATAATAGTCTGGATGTCATATGAAAACTTTCATCGATGAGTACTTCGATTACATGCCAAAGTTGGTCAAGCTTTTCACATATAAAACGTTTCAATATCGGATGTGGTAGAAAATTCGGCAATTGCTCACCGAAGCATGCTAACATGGCATCGTGAACTCTAGAACGGTATTTTGATGAAAAAAAATCCTTATCTTGTCTTTGTGTGATATCTTGAGCTTTTTTGAATTTGCAGTGCAAATTATTAATCAAACTACTAGTAGTATGTTGACCGTCATTTGAGCTCTTAAAACGCTCTTTAATGATATTTTCTACATACCAATCAGCCAGTTCATAATATTTGGCTAATCGCGCAGAAGCCGATGCTAAATCTGGCGGAAATTTCGATAATTGGTCGCGAACTTCTTTTAATTTTGTTTGTATGTCGTTTCGCATTTTTGGAAATGTTTCTTTAACCCGATCAGAATATAAATCAGCTAAACGATTAATAAGTGCATCAATTCCAAGACAATGCCCCGTCATACGCGAGGCAGGATGCTGACTAAAAAATTCTTTTTCACGTTTACGAGCATCTTCGAGTGAAATTTCCTCTTCAGTGCTGCGATTACGAACAGCAATAAAACCTAATTTTAAATGAAATACGTCAGGTCGATCCATCAACAACTGCTGTATTAACGTATCATGATTCGACGCAAGATCGGATTTTGTGATAACGCCGATTGTTCGTATGCCTGTTGGATCAACTTCGCGTGCTATTGTAAATGATTCAACCGTTGCAATATCAACGTTAGCGGGGAAGACACATAAAATAACGCTTCCCTCTTGACGAATTAAATGACGAATTAAATCTGTTGTTTGTTTATGAATATCTTTTGGTTGATCAGCAATAGGATTACGCGCAATACCAGGCAAATCGACCACAGTCAAATCTCGTACATTAGGATCGTTCACTTGTAATTCAATTAAATCTTTAACAATATTTTTATTTTCACCGGCTAATTTCTTTGTTTCTTCTTCGATATAGTTTAGTATATTGGTTTTTCTTTCATCAAGTTCAATTTTCTTATTGCCATTCAAACGGTATAATCGTCGTACACTAGCTTTACGCAATCGTAACACTAATGGACATCTAGTGACAATACCAGAGCCTTTTGGAAGTTCGACTAATGATAATGATTCGAGTAATGTTGATTTACCACTTGATTGATCACCAACGACAACAACGTTCGGAAAAGTAATACCATCATTACTCCATGATAATAGTGATCGAGCTTGATCAATTTTGTCCATCAGTGGACGAATCTTTTCATCATAAGCACTTACAAATGTGTCCATTGTTTTTGCAGTTTGTAAGCCTGATGAGTTCGTAAACGAATGAAACAGCGGTTCAAACATACACAACTGCTAAATCTAACAAAATAACCCGTTAAGCTATCACTTGTACTGTAAACTAATGATTTTTCTATTCTAGCAGCTATTTTTATCTTTTAGTGGAGATTTTAGCTGAAAACAAAGATTTTTCAGAGAACATTAGAAAAAATAAATGGTTATAAACAGAAAAATTTATTGTTATCATGGGATAGATTATAAGCTTTGGACTTGTTTCTTTCAGACATTAGAGATTGCAAAACATGGTGGATATTATTATTTCTAAATATACGTTTGGTTTTTGCTTATCAGTTAGTATCATTATAACGGCACAGTGCCAAAGCTAATCATGAAATTTGGCTATTCAATGATAAAGACATGCAAAAGAATAATGTATTTGGATATTTTATTTCGTCTAAGACATTGATTCATGAACACTTGTTTTCATTATTTGAAGTGGTAATGTGTGTAAAAAACTTAAAGCTCACATTTGTTTATAGAATCACCTACAAATTAGTTGACAAAAAATTGAAAACCTGAAAAATTATGCATTAAGCTTCCTCCCCTCCTCCCCATTAGACAAAGTCAGTTTTTGTCAAATTTATCAATTTTGTGACTTATCACTCGTTAGATAGAGCAAAGTGTCTACTCTTGAATGCACTATAATTGATTGATTTTATGACGAGCTTTAAGAATATTACAGAAGTTTTTCTGAACTTCCATATTGGAAAAAATAAGGCTTTTAAAAACTTATTTTCCATTTTTCTTAAAATCCGTTTTTTTCGAGTATACTCTTTGCGCAGGCAAACTTTACTGAATAACGACTCAATATAGAAGTGATATTTTTTTTTTATTGCATCGAGGACAGTTAGAGCTATATCCTCATAGAGCCCGATTTTTGAATTTTTCCATTGGCGAAATATAAAACTCACATGTCTCATTTTTATCAGCGTTTTTTTGGTCATGAGTTCGAGAATTTTTCGGAGAAGATTTTTTATAAAGCAAACAAAGGGAATTTCAAAAATCGGGCTCTGTGAGGATCTAGCGCCAAGGGTACTCTACAACTTAAAAACAGTCCTACCATGTTAGCTCGTGTACTGGTTGCCCAGTTAGTTGAGGAAACGCTGTTCTGCCGTTAAAACGATGTTTAATATCACATCTTTTAAACGATGGTATATTGACCAAATTATGCGTTTATCACAAAAAACAATTTTGTATGTCATAAAGTAATATTATGTTCTTGTCGGTTAAAATTCGAATTGTAAATATCATAAATAGTGATTCGTTGACGTTAAAACCATAATTTTTTACTATTTTATCTGTCGTAAACGATTCTTTACTTGAAAAAAAGGTTTAATGTTCAAGAATCATCTTCGTCTTCCCAGGTCGAAAAGTACCGGCCGGTTCCGGCAGGAAAACACCCGAAAGCAACGGAACATGGAAGCAGTATTCCGGTCGGAAATTTTTCGGATTTTTTTCCGGTGGATTCCAGCCAATTCCTGTTCTTTCCGGCAGGAACCCGCCGGAAAAAGTCCGAAAAACTTCCGGCCGGAATACTGCTTCCATGTTCCGTTGATTTCCGGCGTTTTCCTGCAGGAACCGGCGATCTTTCCGCGTCTTTCCTGCCGGTTCCTGCAGTATCCGGTGACCGGAACGATCGACCGGGGTTACTTGTAACTTGACCATTCATCTAATTTTATTAATTTGATGATGGACAATACACGTTCGTTCTTTTTCTCAATATCTCAATACATTCCAATGAGTAGGTCTCAATTTGTTTTCGAAAAAGAAGAAGTTAAATCTTTAACAAGTTAAAATATTTATTTAAAGAAATGAAAGTTCGGCATCTATATAACATAAGACATGAGTAGAAGTCTTTTCTACAAACTTTTCTTTTTGTTTTGATATTTGTTCAAGACTTCTACTCATGCCTTATGTTTTAAAGATGCATGAACTTTCATTTCTTAAAATAAATATTTTAACTTGTTGAAAATTTAACTTCTACTTTTTCGAAAACAAAATGAGACCTACTCATTAGAATGCGTTTAGATATTACAAAAACCTGACTACACTCTTTCTTCTGATACAGCGGTCGTTTTTTAAAGTTTTTTTTCTATACTATTCGTAGGTAATTAGAAATTTGTCGATCGCTCAAGGATGATGCGTTTGTCTTACATCTGATAAATATTCTATCGAAATCTTCTCAAGTCTAGTTTATTCTAATATCTATGGAGAAATATATAATTAGTTACAAAGTTGTGATTTATGATAATCTCGATGAATAATGAAAGAAGAATCTAAATTAGTTTATTAGTATCAGATATATATGTGATAATGAAACTTAGATTTTTAAGAAGAATCAATGAATTGATACGACAAGCAAAAAATTCTAGGGGAAAAATACCATAGATAAAATGATGTTAATTTTTTGGTATATTTTATCAAAAGAAAATATTGAACATAAACACTATTGACGTACTTCTAAAATTTATTCATTGTTGAAACTATTTTTTTTCTCATTCTTTAACAGTCGTCTGTCGTAGATAAGAAATAATTTATTGCTACAAAAGTAAATAGAGCAGCTAAGTTTTTTATTTGATTACTGTAATCTTTATGACTTACGCATATTTATCATCTAGTTGTTCTTTTAAGATGTATACTGAAAACGGAATATATACTCAGCATTATATTCTTTTTATGGTATAAGAGGTAAAAAATTAAAGTTTCTTTGCGTAAGAGTTTCAATCGACGACGAACTCAGTAAAATAACAAGCTCTAAAATGAAATCATTAATGAAACTAAGCTATTTAACATTTTTTTCAACTGATTTATTAAGATCAATCAGTGTGACGTTTCGTTCTAACTAAG